GTAAAAGTGAGAAAATTCATGGGTTGAGATAAAGACAGTTTAATAATTGAAGTAAAATAAAATAGAACAGTAGTAATAGTAGTAGTAATAATAATAATATAATACAATAATAATATACAAAGCAAGTGATACAAGATACAATTGCTCACCATCCACTGACCGATGCCCAGCACGTCCCCGAGCAGCAATCGCTGCACACAGCCAACTCCCCCCCAGTTTATATACCGAGCATGACATCATACGCTATGGAATAGCCCTTTGGCCAGTCTGGGTCAGCTGTCCTGGCTATGCCCCCTCCCAGCTTCTTGTGCACCTGGCAGAGCATGGGAAGCTGAGAAGTCCTTGACTAGTGTAAGCACTGTTTAGCAACAACTAAAACATCAGCATGTTATCAACATTATTCTCATACTAAATCCAAAACACAGCACTATACCAGCTATTAGGAAGAAAATTAACTTTATCCCAGCCGAAACCAGGACAGCACTTCATCAGATTTGCTGGCTCAATAAACCACATCACAGAAATCTCTTATTCTATGTGGTTTATGAAAAAGATGATACTTACCAGTAATGATATTTGGCCTTCCTTTACAATGTTTAAGATGCTCTTAATTTTTTTCAACTCTTCATTCCTCTCTTCTGCCCTCCCTGAGCTATTCCAGTTCATATTCAGTTCATTAACCTGCTTGCTTTCTGCCACTGTCATCTGCAGGTGAAAAGTCCTCAGGTGGAAGTTTGGCATAGTCGTCTCATTTTTACGAGTCTGAGGATCAACAAATGCCATGCTGAGGAAGCCCTTGCCCTGGTTTTCAGATTTATGGACTGAGCTACACTTTAAGGGCTGTGAAAGCTCTAATTCTTGTGTTAAACACTTGCGTTGATCAAGTACAATGTGCTGCATTTTTCTCAGCTGAGAACCTTTCACAGGGGCCAGAACACAGAACTGTGTCATGCTGGCAGCCAAGTTCTCTGTGCTCCCTGCAGAGCAGGTCTTGCCACTGAGACCATTCACTGTTGAACACACACCCAAAAGATTTTTCTCAGGAGCTACCTTTGTAAAAGGAACAAGTTGCTGGCCTGATTTAATAAAAGGCACATCCAAAATTTCATCCATATCCAGGTCATAGTGCTCTAGCTCCCCAAGTAGAACAGCGTGCTCAATGTTTTTACTTTTAAAGCATTGTTCTCCTGGGCTCTGGTCACCATTCGGAGATGCAGACTGAGAATCGCCACCTTTCTGGTATTCTTCCTTCTGGTTCTTTTAGTCATCACTTTCATTATTCTCAGAGCTCTCTGGCTGGTGCTTTAATGGAGAAACCCTCTTTACTGGTCTGAATTTATTGCACATATCTGCAGTTCCTGTTGGATTCTGTGCATTTCCAGCAAGAGTTGAGACTTCGCAGTTCCAGTTGCTGCTGGAAACTAGAGAAATAGAGGAATGTGATTTAGAACTGCTTATTATTACCAGACATGTTACATGACACAGCATATTTTAAAGATATACTTAGCCAAACACTGGGAACAAAAATTACATGATAGCATGCTGTATTCACATCTAAGCAGATTTAATAGCAACTCTATTACAATAGCTAAAGAATTTGACACTCCAGAGAAGAAACTTTCAAATAGGACATACATTGTAAACATCTACAAAGCAGTAAGAGCCTAGTGGCATTGAAGCTTGCACTGCCAGACTATGCTAGTTTGCACTCTGCTATTTTTATTGCATGGAGACGCATCAGAAGACTAGAATGATTTTCTGGGAGGTCAACACCAGGGTGGGTGAAAATTTTTTCTCCTGGTTTTTTTTTTTTGTGGATTTGTTTAACAATAGCAACAAATTTTTTTTGTTTTATTTTAAAGGTCTGTTTTCTCTGGAAGATGGATTTTTCATGAAAGAACTGGAAATCCTGTTTTAATCTGAAAATTAAACCCACTTATTAAGGTATGATGTTTTATTTTCTACTTCTCTGTTTGTTGGGATTCTTAGTTAAACTTTCCACCCCTTCAAGTACATATATACTTACATATAAATAGCTCTGGAACTTCCAGTGCATTATCTTCAGTGTACTGCAGGATATGGAGTTTGACCAGTGAATCTGACTTCCAGAGGAAAAATGGGAGCTCAAGTCACCTGACATCTTTCTCCTAATTAACTTCCACTCTGCCCCGAAGGCAGCTAAACACCACACAGCCATTGGCTCACTCCCTCACAGTGGGATGGGGGAGAAAATGGAGAGAAAAAAAAAAAGGTAAAACTCATGGGTTGACATACAGATAATTTAATAGGACAGAAAAGAAAGGGAAA